CACACCCACACTGAGCTTGCTGAGGTTATTTTTAGCATCAGCAAGATGCTTACCTGGATGGTTCCTGAAATGCATTAAATTGTACACAGCCAATTAGTGCTGACAGCTGATCTGTTCTTTGTATCTGCCCCCCCTCGTCTTTCTGTCTCTGGAATGAATCTGTGTCAAATCTTCCCAGCCTTCTGAAATTAGGGCAGTTCCCTGGTTTTTAGTCCAGTGACCAGGAGTTGGAGCACAGCTGGAGATTCGTCAGAAAAACCTTGCTAATCCCCAGGTGAGCTTAGCTCAGTTCAGCATCTCCTAAACTTCTGCATTAGGACTACAAGTAGTCTGTACATGTACCCACTTACCACTTTTTTTGGTCAATCTAAACAAAATGTTCCCCAAAGTTCTGTGCATTCAGCCCAGTTCCCTGCTGAGTGTCACAGTCTGAAGGGCTGATGGCTTTTCAGTGAGCAAAGCTGCCCTGAGACATTTCTGTGGAGAAGTGGCACTGGATGTGCTGTCCTTGGGAAACATGGCACATCTTTTGTGCTGTCAGTAGGTGAAACTGTCTTTGTGAGTGCTCTGTGCTGAGCTGTGGTGCTGTTTTGCTTTTAGACTGCCAGTCTGAAGTGCTTTTTGCTTGGTATTGTTCTGTCTCCAGCAGCACTGTGAACTTCACACTCTGTTACCTGAGGGACAAACCAGGGTCTCATCTGGGTGTGCTTTTGGCTACATCTGCAGTTCCTGGGTGAATCAACTCAAAAATGCTTCTCCAGGAACCTCAGGGCAGCACCACACCTACAGAGTCCAGATGTGGTAACAACTGAATAAAGAGGCCTCCTCTTCACTTCTTGTTGCCAGGAAACCTTGGTCCAGCATCATCCACTTCCCTGAGCCAATGTTTTCACTGTGGTAAAGATCAGCTTTAGGTGCTCAAGTTTTGGCTCCTCTCTGTGTACAAAAACCCTTTGTTCTTCCTGTCTGCCTCCTCTGCCCACATTTCTGTATTTAATTCCTGTCCCCATCATATTCTAAGTGCCACTTCATGCATCATCTGTACTTGTACAAATACCAGAGCAGGTGAAGCAGTACACAAAGTGAATATTACAAGTATAATCTTTTCAAGGAATTTGTATTTTCATTAAGACATTAAGTTATACTGGAGTGTCTTTAACCATGGTTACATTCTCAAGAAGCACAAGCCGCCCAGGCACTTCAAACATCAACTTTCTAAACAGCCAGATATCAAATTTAATTAAACAACCTTTTCCTGAGTCACCCTTCAGTCTAGCAAGTGTTTCACTCCCCCAGGTTTCAGCTGAAACCCCTTCTAGAACAAAGTGTGTCTGTGAGACAGGAAGCAGATACTGCAAACAATCCTCTTGCAAATGTCTTTTCTGCCTCGTGACACGAAGAGCTCTCGATTCACTGAATTCCATGGAGGGCTTATTATCTGTGCTCTGAACACACAATAATGGAACCAGGACCTGTAGGGCGCCCTGTGCCTAATGCACAGTGGAGTATTCCAAGAGTTCACCATGCTCTGGGGCACTGGGCATGCATGGATTAGAGAAGCACTACAGCATAGGGAAAACTGGAATAGTGCCATTTTGGAGGGAGGAGGAGAGGAAAGTCCACGTTTCCACGGCAACAAGTGGTAGATTAAATTGGCTGGGAGCACAAAATACAGGAAATACACTTTTCAAAAGCAGCGATGCACATAAATGAATCCTGGAATCTCTCCTCATGCCGCTGTCAGTCAATAATAATTCTGAAGTCGGTAGATTTGCACTGCCGTAAAAGTAGAATTTGTCTCAAAATACAGAATTTCCCAATCTCTCTTTTGAGATGGAATGAATGGGAAGGTGAAGGAAAATAGGGGTTTTAGCTTTGACTTCATAAACACCCATCAGAGTGATAGCAGAGTAGCTTTTCTCAGCAGGTTCACAGCTGCTGCTGAAATGTGTTACAACCAGAACCACTTAAATAATACAGTGGTTTTGAGAAGATGCTCTTCTTTTGTCTCCCCATTTTTAAAGCTATATAAACACCATTATTTGGTGTATTTTGCACACTATCTATGTCAGTACATCCTTCCCTCCAGAGTACAGAGTGAGGCTGTGTTAGCTGTGGGGCTGAGGCAGTTTGCTAGAGAGATAGAGATCATCAAACCCCTGCAACTGTGCTGAAAAATATCGACCCTGTTAACAACTGCCTGGTTATGTGCCATTCTTATGCAGTCAGCCATTGAATAACTACTTGCTGATCTGCCCACAGATCATTCTTTGTGCTAAACACAGATCTACATCCTGATGGTACATGTGGATTTGCTGTTATCTAAGTGTTGCTATTGCAGCAGCAGTGCTGCTCTTTTCTGCACAGGTAGTGGCAAAGCCCTGGAGAGAACAGACATTTCTACTGATCCCATCTCCCAGGCAGCACTTCCCACCCCAGCACGGCCTTCCTTAGCTACAAACCTCCAGGCTGTCACACAGAGACCGTGCTGCACAAGTACCAGTGAAATGAATGAGTGCAAACACCTCAAAAGCTCATCCAAGAATTTCACTCTTCCCAGTTTGGTTTCATTTCCACAGCCAGGCTCTGCTCCGAGTGTGGGCTCTGGGGTGGCCTGGGTTTTGTGAGGTGAGTCCTAATCAGAAACTCCACAGGGATATCCTCTAGGGCTTTGGCTCTTTGGCCTTTGCCACAATTCACTTTTACTTTGTTGGTTGGCTGTTGGGTTTTTTGGACACCCACTTGCTTTTCCTGGTGTTGTAAATATTTTCCTGCATTCGTCCACCACCTGAGCTTGTTTGCACAGTCGTGTTCTATTCTGGTGGATGAGTTAAGAGCTGAGCTGAACTCTGCCAGCACATATGTGCTGGAAGTTGTGTGGGAGACTGCTCCCAATCTGTTTTGCCTTTTTTCCTGGCTATTCCAGCAATCTCCGTGCCGTCTGTTCCCCGAAATGCGCTCAATCCTCCACATTCCAGGAAGAAGGAACCAAATTAAGGCCTGACTTCCAACACTTGGAACAAAGATGGCTTTTAGCCATCCTCTAGACATCACCAGTGACACTGATGGGCTGCGCCCCAGATTGCTGCCTGAGATCACAGCAGGCAGGGGAGGCTCCCTTAGCTGCATTCACCTACACACAGCAAATTTCCTGCCTCCTGGTGGTGGCCAGTCCCTGTCACCTGTCCAGCAGTGTCCTCTGCAAGTCCTTGTACTGGCATTTGACTCTAGGGATGCATCCCTCGCTGCATTTCTTTAGGCTCATTATTAAGCAAGACAAATGGTAAATGAAAATAAAGAGATAAAGGCTGTAGTTACAGCAACTGAAGCTGCAATTTCATCAGACCTTTCAGACTAAGAGAAGTCAGGCAGGGCTGAAAAGAGATGTGACCTTGTAATCATTTCAGCAATAGGAGATGGGGCTGGGTATGACAATCTTCTCATTCAGTGAATACTTTGTGATGCTTGAATTGGTTTTAGGGATGCAGTAGGGTGGAAGCCATTTTTTGTGTATTTTAAAGCAATCAAATTAGGCTCTTGATATATGAAGAGATCTCATGAGTTATCAAATGGCCAAAATAATGGAATTAATGATGGTTGGGTGCAATGTGAAATATTTCCCTGAAGTACATGCACAAAGCTTGTAAGGTCAGGGTGATCAAGACCCATCTTTGCTTCCTGAAGTGATGGGTGTTAATGGAACACACACCTCTGATCTGCTCTGCCTGCAACTCTTGGAACTCAATGTGCATTGTAGGAGGACCTTTTCTGCTTGTCTGGATGTACATGTTTTCTGTGGCAGGCTCTGTCACCTGCACCGAGTTGTGCAGCCCCTGGCACAAAGCACTGCTCCCCTTTGGGTGCAAAGTGCTGCTGTGCAGGCACTGAGCCTGGAGGGACAATAACTCCATCTCTGCTGTTGCAGGGGCACCATGAAGGGCACCCAGAACCTCCTCTGTGTTCCCTCAGCAGCTTGTTCCTTAGCTGAGGGCAGGAGTGGTGAAGGCAGAGATGTTCTCCTCCATAAACTCTGGTCCATTAGGACTTGTGCTCTGATCCACACATTTGTTCTCATTCCCTGTCCCCAGAGGTAAAGTTTAATCAAAAGCATGCACATGAATGAGTTAGTCTAAATATCAATAAACGTTTCTTTCAGGAGAGGCTTGAGATATTTAATATTTAATAAGCCTTGAAAATGAATTTCTGTTCATGTTTCCCAATTTGTTTCCAAGCATTTTGGCGGTGAGCAGTGCTCGCTGTCCCTGTGTGGGCAGCACTGCACAGATTATTTAACAATCCACTTTGTCTCCTCTAAAATATTCATGTTTGCAGATATCCAAATGCAGCCCTTAAAAAAGCACACACAAAACCCAAATGGTGCAGCCTGAGCCTCCCAGTTACCTTCAGCCTTTGCTTCAGGCTGCACACCACAGTGATGCTGTTTCTCTCACAGCTCTCCCCTGTTGCCCTGGTTACTGATCAAACCAGAGCATCCCTGCTGTGCCTGCAGCTGGACTCACACCTTCCCCAGGTGAGGGCAACGCTGCTGCTGCCTTAAGGCACCAGTGCAGCAGCTTTCCCTTGGGCAAGTAAATGTGCAGCTCTAACAATTGCCTTTGTGCTCACATTCAGCTCGAGCTGAAAAAGCCAAATCTGCTTGATAAAAATTATACTACTATTTTTGTTAAAGCACTGGGTTTTCTGGAGGACCTCCAAATCTTGATTGCAGCAGCAGAGCTGCAGGTAGATTTGGCAGGATTTTGTCTCCCAAATTGACTTCTGTCTTGTTTTGCCGTGAAATCAAGGCAATCCTGACTGAAGAGAGAGTTAAGATTTTTTTCTCCAGTGGCTGATTGACAGCTGAAAATGTGCTGTATTGGTTTGTGGATGGTTCCCAGCAGGCAATGGAGCTGGGGGTGGGTGGCAGTGCCTCTGACAGGGCCCAGAGGATGCTCCATTGTAAAGGGAGGCTCCTCCCTGTTCTCATTCACAACACTTACTTTGAGAGTTTCATTTCAATTTGCTGCCGGATTTCCTGTCTTTCCTCATCTGTTCTCCTTGGGAAAATATTCCTGTCTTCCAGCTCCTGCTTACTTGGTCTGTTCCGTAGCTTTACTGCCAGCAGCTCTTTCTTGCATTTTCTTGGCAAAGTACCTGGGACATGCATTGAAAGGAAAGTTATTAGAAAGGCAGCTCCTGGGGATGGAACAGGAACTTCTGGAGAGAGGAATGGCCCAGAGTGACAGTGATCTGTGTGCTGCTGTGCAAGGAGCATTTGTACATGTTAATGCCAGAAAGCAGCACTGCAGCTGAGCAGGGCTCAGACACAAAACCATGCAGAGGGAAAATATTCCTCAGGGCATGCAAGAACTGCAGTTAAATCTTTGTTTCATCTTGGGAGCATGGTGTGAAATAGGAGGTTAATTTGTTTTGGTTCCTTTTTGCTTTAAAGGGTTTGGGTTTTTTTAAATTTAATGCCTCACCTTTTCGAGAGAAGGTCACCTCATCTTTAAAGAAAATGACATTTAATTGGTATTTTTGTTTGGCATTTGAGATAGGATTAAAGTCTATTTTTTAAAGGATGCTCTGGAGGTTGGCAAGATTCTAAATCCTAAATAGGTTCTCATTCTCAAATACTGGGGTTTTATTTGTTAGGGATCTATGGACCTCCTTTTTTATTATCACTACTGATCTCAAATTTCTTTATGCAGAGGGAGGAGTCTATATAGCCTCCATCCCACATTTACCTGTTGGAAAGAGTGGAGCAGAGTAATTTTCACTGCTCCCTGTGTGAGCAGTAAAAAATCTCTTGGTAGTTGCATTGATCTAAAGTTAAACTTTTCAGAAACCATAATCAGCTCAAAACCCCTTTTCTGGAGCCTAAAAAGCTGTGCCCTTATTTAGCACCTTCCTTGAAATGCTCTCACAGTCTGTTGCAAGCATTAATTAAATTAAACCACACAGCCCTGTCTGAAATAGCAGATATACATTTAACAGATGGGAAGGGAAGTGAAATGATTTGGCTGCTGCCACCCAGAGCCTTCTGCTAACTGAATATCTGACTCCATCAGGAGCATTTGGCTCACAAAGCCACAGACTTGGGACTCTGACAGGGTTTCTCACCACACTGGGAGTGGGTGCAGAGGAACCAACAGAATTCCTGCTGGAAATAATCTGAGGGACATTCGGGGCTAGAAAACTCCTGGGAATCCCTGCACACGTTCCCAGTTTCACCTGAGTGTTTTAGAGAGGTCATGGGAGGAGTTTGGCCGTGTCAGGAGGTTTCTGTGACATGGAGCTCTGTGTGTCCATGGGAGCTGCAGCATTAGCCATGCAGAGTGTCCAGGGCAGGGCACCCTGGGGGCATGAAAAGCAATATAATCTATAGGATTTCTGTCATTGACTTTAAAGGAAGTGGGGTCAAAATTCTTATTAACAGTGTCAGCTCCCTCTGTCAATCAAAGGTGGACTGTTCTTAATGAAACATCATTCACCAGAACAGGTTAAAATGCAAGTATACATGCAAAATCTATATATTAAGAGAAAATAAGTGCACATGAATAAAACAAAAGTAGAGAGCAAAGAGAAAGCCCCAAGCTGTTCTTTTGCACATCCACTTTCAGTATCCTGAGGCAAATTCCTTCCTGATCACTACCTCAGTAGAAACTGAACCTGCAAACACCTTTATTTAAGTATTCTTTTTTTAAGGGTTATTATTCTTAGTCAATCGGGCACATTCAGAGCCAGTCTGCCCCTGAAGATCTATCTCAGGCTGGATTGTTTCGTGATTTATCACACCTCAGCTAGGTCAACAAGAAATGCTTGGGAAATTCACACCCTTTTCATGTTCAGGCTCCAGGTTCCTGTAAAAACTCCCTGTTTCAATTCAGTCAAATCATTACAATTAATGTCTTGTCTGTTTACTGTTCTTTATATCATATTCACTGTTTTATCAATCAAATAGCAAATCCTAACACTGCCTGATGCTGGACAGACCTTGATTGCACCAGTTATCAGTTGTGGGCTATGTTCTGGTAATGGTGTTTTTTAAGCTCATCTTGCCTTGTGTTTTCAGAGGTTTCAAATAATGATTTATTGAGTAGGAATAGAAAACCAAGGCATAATTCCTCACTTTTTCCAGACTTATGTGACGTGTCTGTACCTCCCTGTAGCCCCAGGGCTGTGGCACTGTGCTGGTGGCAGTGGCAGAGCAGGTGACTGCTAAGGCAGGACAGGGATTGCAAAGCAGCTCAGCATTAATGGATAGTTTTACTCCCTGACTTGGAAACCAGCCCAGATCTCTTCAAACCAGAAAGAATCTGGAGATGTTTAGGGAATTGTTCTGGTGCTGTCCCTGGGAACACTGGCACCAGCAGTGCCTCCACACCAGAAATGCCTTGGGAATGCCCCAGCTTGCTCTGGGACATCAGTCAAAGCTCAGCATCCTCTGTGCCAAGCAGCAGTGTTGTTGCAGCCACAATAATGCCCAAATATCTTTAAAGCAGCTCTGGTTTTCTCAGGTGCATCAACCATCCCCAGTACACCAGCACTGTCCTTCAACTGCAGGAATTTTCCAAAACTCGACCACTTATCGTGGAAAGCCCAGAGCTGCTTCTAGATATCACTGAAACTTGTATAATAACCAGTGCCCTCCTGTCATCATAATAATGAATAATTATTTGTTAAATATAGAGAGATTCACCTTCAACAGTTAAATATTCAGATTTGGGGTTGCTTGTTGGGGATAATGTATTTTTCTTGCCTGGCTGCCTCTAGCTCTTAGAATTTTTATCAAAAGCAGCCACTTTTACACACACAGCCAGAAAAAGTAGAACTTAAAAGGTGTTTGTTGTGTTTTAAGCTATTCTTAAATGCACAGCAATTAGACTCCTTACCTCACGAGTCTGTTCTGTTACTTGGTGTCTTAAGACACAGCAGCAGAACTCAGGTCCTGTCTACTGGCTCATGCTTTCAAAGACACCTTTTAGAATTCATCTTTCATCTGCTGTAACAATTTTTTTTATAAATTGTCCTCTGCCTGACTTCTTTTAATGCATTCATGAAGAGAGTGAAGGATTCATTTCAGATTGAATCTGTCTTGCTAACATGGAAAACATTAAAAAGCTTGAATGGCAAATTTTCTAATGAGAGCTGATTATTTTGCCAAAGCTCACTTAAATAATTGCACAGGATTATAAAATGCATTCCCCATATGTCTCAAGAAGGGGTAAAATGGACCAGATGGAGAGAAACTTTATTCTTTAAGATATTTTCTCTATGTGTTTATCCTTCCTGGATTGATTGGTCTCTATCACTTTTCCATGTACCACCATGTACTGCATGGAAAAATAGTCCTGAAATTGCAGAACACAGCAGCACTGGCACTGGGTGTACAGAAAGCTCTGGCTGCTCCCAGGGGGATTTCTGGGAGTGCTGCTGCTCATACAGAGCAGCCCAGGGTGCAGCAGTAACTGAGCTCAGTCACAATCCCTGTGACTCCAATTTAACTTCACCTTTTCACCAGGGTTCCTTCAAAAAGCTGATGTAACAGTAGAGGAATTTACCCTTCCCAATATTTGCTGCTGCCTTTAGAGCATTCCCTTGGTTGTGGGAATGTATCTTTGCAATACAGTGACTTTGCTTACCAGAAATAACAGAGTCGTTCAGAACTTCTTCATCCTGATAGAAAACAGACTCTTCCTTGAGCTCTGAGTTCATGATCATGTTTTCTTTGTTCTCATCTGACTCTTTAACTGAGTTCCTCTTGTTTTCTGAGTCACTGCCATAACTCAGCGAGTTCTCCTTCTCTTTGTTGCGCTCCATGCTCGATGTTCTTGAGGGACGGACATCCACCCTTTTTTTTGGAGAGCCTTTGCTTTCTCTTCCATGGAAGCTATGGGTGGAAGATGCACAGCCCAGATTTTACAAACATTGTTTTATTGCTGCAGTAGAAACTTACATGAGAATGAGAAAAACATCCTGTAGCTCGTAAAGGGCAGGGCAGGGAGTTCAGCATGGACCAACATGGGGTGGCATTTTCAAGTTGAGAATGGCTAATGTGGATCTACTTTCCTGCCTCTGCCATTAAAATAAGACATGGAGGGGTGGTGAATAATGCTTTTCTTTGATACATGGTCACAAGATACGCTGTAGTGATTAAAAACCCCACAACAACACATCCTTCTAATGTAAAACATGCATGGCATGAAATATGACCATTCATATGATATTGTATGATCATGACAAAGGTTTAACAGGGCCTGGAAATGACATCATGTGAATCTGTTCCCTGGGGCAGTACTTTTTAGGGAGCTGAGAAATGCTACCAATTTCACTCCAAGGCTCTGGGATGGCAAAGGTTAGTTCTGTCCTCCTCTGATACACAGGAGGGCTTCTAATGAAACCCAGATACAGCACCCAGGGTACTCCCACGAAAACATTTGTATTAAAAATGGATCTTGTATGTGCTCCTGTGTCAGCCAAGAGACACAGAAATTACAGCATTTCTCATTGTAGAGTACTTGGAGCAGTGCCTTTGCTACTCTAACTTGGTATCTTGTGGGGAAGATTTTCTTTTGCAGTAGATCAAGGACTATCACCTGATTCTACCTGTTTGAAAACCTACTTCTGCACCACAGCAGCCTCTTTACAAAGGAAGAACATACAATGAAATAGCTGCCAAATGAAGCACTTTAAAGATGTTTGTTCCAAGCAGTGACACCACAAGGAAGGCAAACCCAAGCTGTAGCAGCAATTAAAACACCAACAACAGGATAGGAAGATTTTCCAAGAGAAATGAAGTGGTGGGATGAGTGTCCTCATGCAGCCCTGTGCCTGCAGGCTGTAGGTACCTGTCCTGCCGGTGTTTGGTGGCCAGAGCCCTGTGGAGTTCTTCAATGACTCTGCTGGGAGGTAAAGGCAGATGAACGGCAGCCAGGTGAGGGGAACCGGTGGGCGTTGTTACCTGGCCTCTGCCATGGGGCTCGCAGCTTTTCTGGCCAGAGGGGTGGAAGAGGGCAGCTTGTCCTGAGATTTGGGAGGAACCCACAATGACATAGTTCTTCAGGATGGTGGAAGGAGGAGATTTCATGGCTGGATCGTCCGTTTCGCTTCCTGCTGTCAAAACACAAGAGGGGAGGAGGTTGTGCAATGCTTTTTCTGTTTTCTTCTTTTCACACAGAGTCTGCACTGAACTTAATTTGTTGTATTGAACAGAGGATAAATGGTGATGTTTTGCTCTTGCTGTGAGGTAACTGGCTGAGTAACTGAGTTGAAAAGGCTCTTGCTGTATCACTCCAGATCTTTAATCTAGCAAAACAGATGCCTCTTCACTTCCCCTCTTTCTCACAGGATAAGATTCTCCTTTTTCCCAGCCCACCACTGCATTTTTGCTTGCCCACACTGTTGCTCCTAACCACCAAAGGCTTGGGCTGTGGTGGCTTTCCAATCTAGCATTTTCTCTGCTGGACTCTGGCAGACTGTATTAAAATTTATGCCCTGTGGTTCTGAGTCTGGACAAAATGTACCAGTGTCTATTAGCTGCTCCTCTGTGATTGCAGCCCAGACCTCTGTCTTTCATATGCCCGTGGAGAAAATGCCAAAATCATTATGAGGATAATGTTTGCATAACAAAACTTGCCAAATGACATCCAAATGAAAGATGGGGTACTGAGCACTAACAAGAAAAAAAGAAGGGTGGGGCAATATAATTTCTTTTTAGCCCCAAATTCAGCTATTTTCTATGCAATGTAAACCTTTTGTCTGAAATTAGAATTGCACATTTAGACTGATTTATACATTTCCTAGCATTTGAGTCTGAAGCACAGTGGACATTTCCCTGGTTGTAAATTTGGTGGCTTCACACAATATCCCTTAGGATGAACTGAACATCTGCCCTGAAAAAGATGCTGATTCGTTTTTCTGTTCTCCTCTTCCCCTTTCCCTCTCCCCTATATCCGTGTCCCACGCCTCTGGCACATGCAGATGTTTACAGCATGTGGGTGGATAAAGGCAATTTGAGCTCCTCATCCCAGAGTATTCCTTGTCCCTTGTCCCTTGTTGCCACCTAGTGCTTCACACAGGAATTTAAACTGGCACAGCTTGCTCAGCTTTGCTACAAACGTGCTTTCACAGGTAATTTTCCCTTTTTTTTTCCCCTCTTACTTTGGAGATAAACCCTTCAATTCATAGCAGAGAAAAACTGCTCAGGCCAGGATTATCCTGAAGTAGTCCTGTAACAAGGACTTGGTTCCAGGTAGCAGGATAGCTTGCTAGAAAACTGGAGAGGGCAAAAAATACTAACTTCAGTTATTAAATATATCCTCTCAGAACCAGCATTCTGCATAAGGGTTACCAAAAACATGCATTTTCTTAATTTTGCTTAAGACGAGCTCCTGAAATCATAACCAAAGTCAAACCCTGAAAATCTAAGCATGGCAACACTAAGCCTGGTTTCTTTTGGGGTTTGTGGGGTGGAGAGCATCCACAACAAAATCTCTCTTCTAAGGAAGGTCTAACTAAAATTACTTTTTTTATCTCTGAAGGCGTTTGTGCACATTTGTGTCCCTTCAGCCCAGAGCTTAGCAATGGCTTTGTTCATTTCTATTCAAACTAGCCCAGAACTTACCCAGTTTAAAATCTGGGAAGTCTGAAGGCTCAGGGGCATTGCTGCCAGAGGCAGTGCCTGCTGTGCAATGTGTGAGCCACCCTCCCACCCCAGAGCTCCTCCTGCACGGATCAGGTGCTGCTCAGCCAGGATTCAGCCGAGCTCTGCTGAGCAAAGCTGGGTTTGCTGCTCAGGGGGGCTGATTCTGTGCTGCTGTGGAGATCATAAATCATAAATTGATTTCTGATCAATTGCTGCCCACTGAATCATGGCCTGAGGGGATGGACAAGCACCTCCTGAGCCACTTTATCCTCTGCACACAGAGGGTGGCTGTGTTTCCTCACAGCAAGAGCCAGGGCTCAGCTCAACCCCATAGCAGGGAAAGAGAAGAATTTGTTTTGTCTTTACACCAGCTTGTTCCTGGAACAGGTCAAGGGCCAATTTCATCCTTATTGCAGCTTTGGACAATATTGAGAATTTCCTGAGATCACACCTTATTTGTCCTAATGGCAGATGTTCAGTGAATAATCTTGCAAAGTGATGTCTTGGCACCTTGCCCTGTTCCTCCTCTCTCTGATTAATTGGTGCTTGACTTACTCCTCACTCCTCTGCTGACAGCATCCCCTAGCATTGTTAAGAGAGGGAAAAAACTAAACACAAAAGAGCTTTTCAACCCCTTCATCTTCCTTTTCTTTCATAATTGCCCTTTCTCTCTCCCCACACTGTTGTATTTCCTCTCACTCACTGACGGTATTTGTTTAATTTTAACTTAGCACTGCCCCCACATCCCCACAAAAATAAACATGTATAATCACTACTGGAAAAGGGTCTAGAGTTACTGGAGTCATTGAGAAAATTAAAAGTTGCTCTTTGTGAAAGATGTAAATGAGAATTAAATACCAAAACTCAAAATATCTCAGATGCTACAGGAAATATTTGAGTTAAGCAGCAAAAACCTGAACTCTGAATGCTCTGAAGTGCTTGGTGGAGGTGTAATCTCTATACCCTGAGTGGGTCAGGTTTCCAAATACATCTGATGCCAAGCATGGCCTTCTCCTCAGCTGAGCAAAGGCAGGGGGGCCTGGGGATGCCTGTTCCTCTTGCAGGGTGGAAGGGGAGGCTTGAGCCTCACCCACAGCACAGGACAGTGAAATAACCTGAACAGCAGCTCCTGAGGAGCACTAAAATACCATTTTGAATCCAGCTCCCACTTGAGTTATTACAGCTTTTAAGCACAGACAAAGTATGAATTGTTTCCATGGGAAACAAATACTTGTAATTTTCTTTAAAGACACTGAAAACCTCAATATTTTCTCTAAGCCCCAGTGGTCAGGTCACAGAACCCCTCTGATGTTTTGTTTCCTGGTGACTCTGAAAACCCTGCTCATTGTGCCAGATGATGAGTGTGGATGCAAATCAGGGCTCACATAATGGCTGTCATTTAAAAGCCTAAATATCCAACAGGTCTGACATTTAGATGTCAGGACTTGATTTTCATTTGCAATAAGGCCCTTTTAGCTGCTTTTACCATATGTAGGGGCCCTGAAATTGGAACCAGCTAAAATCATTCTCATTTTAGCACCCTTTCTGCAGTGCCAGAACGTTGAGACATGTAACAACATTGGCAATACATTAGAAAATCAGGCCCAGGGGAATTGGTTTTGGAAACGTTCAATAAAGTCTGGCACAGAGGACTGCCAGGTGTATCACTCTTCAGAGCAGATTTCATAGCTCTAGTTCAGACCTGCCCCAGAGAGCAAACCCTTCAGACAGAAACCTCTGCAGAACCTTTGACTTGAACTAGATTTTGGCTGCTGTCCTGCTCTCCAGTGGGAGCCCAGGTAATGAAAACATTTAAATCTTCCTTGTGTTTTATGGCATATCAATATGAGCATGAGATTCAGCAGATGTTTGCAGTTGGTTTGATTTGTTTTATGTGTGTTTAGTGCTGCAGACTCACAACAAATAATCCCCTGAGAGGTTCAGATAAATATGTGAAGTACAAAGATCAGTGCATTGTTATCAGACAGCCAGACATGGTCACTGCTCACTGTAACTGAGTGATTCTCAGCAGTTTGGGGCTTCAAAACAGGCATGAGAAAAGGATTTGACAGTGCTGTGGAGGTGAACAACACACCAAGATTGGGAAATCTTCACTGAGCAGCGATGACTGACCTGTTATGCTCTTGGTGATTTTGGAGATTGCCTTAGGTGGTGGAGCTGGGAGCAATGGAGGGCTGGGAAGCTGTGCTGGGTTTCTTTCTGTCTGCTTCTGAGGGGAATCTGTGGATTCAGGTACAAGTAAGGCTTGTGGACTGTCTTCAGATGCTGGCAGGCTGGCATCTTCCAGTTCTTCCGTGGGTGCTGAAGGTTTCTTGGCTAGTGGGAAGATGAGTGAGATTAATGGAACATGAAGTTAATAATGATAGGCCAGGGGACAATGCCAGGAACATTCAGAAAAACTGAACACATGGCACACAGCTAGAAACACTTCTTTTCCACTGTGAAAGCAACTGTGTGAAACAGCCAACCAGCCAGGGCAGGTGAAGAATAAAACATATGAGGATATTGAGGAAATGTTAGTTTTGATGTTCCTGAGAAAACTGCTGAGCTTCCTTTACTTCCCTAAAGCCTTTTTCTCCTTTTTTTTTTTTTCTTTAAATAATGAGGATAGCAAGGCAAAGCAACTTTTGAGAACAGCAATGAATTTTCTTAGAGCACACAGCTGTGGTGGCACAGTTCCTGGGTGAGCACTCTTCTGTCTAGGAACACATAGCCAAAGGGCAAGGAGTATCAAACCCAGAGTGTCACCTAAAAACTGATCTTCCAATAGTTCATGTGTGTTAATTTTCCCAATATGATTTTTATCTTATTTAATACATTATTTCAACTTGCTTCCTGAGTCCTCTTTTACTGTACCTGACTCCAGAGCTTTTGAGCATTTTCTGAGGTTAAAGTTGATAACCAAAAAGACTCTGCCACAAAAAAAAGATTTGCTATTGGATCTGAGCAGTTAGAGTGGAACAGGGAATTGGTGAAGTACTTAAGCAAAGAAATCAGTCTCCAAAGCCCTGGTTTGAGATGGTGAAGCACTGCTCATTTCAGGACTGTCTCTGCAGGGATGGCAGAAGCACTTAGCTGTGAAAGTTACTGCAGGCTGAATCACTGAGCAGTTCATCAAATTGTCCAGGCTGTGATGAGGGCACAGGGGAATAGATGCAGAAAGGCATGAAGTGAAGCAGGACACAGGTGGAATTTCAGTGATGAAGTCCAAAATTAGCATCCTTGAATTCTGCTCAGATACAGCTGCCCTGGCAGTGCCCAGGCTCACACAGAGCCTCACTGTCACATGTCCTGATCCCTGCCTGGCCAGCTGAGGGACCCACAGGAATCCTGGGGGCTGACTCTGATCCAGCCATGGCCAGGCTCCCTCCAAACTGTACTTCCAGCCACTCTGGGCTCAGCAGTAGCCATGAGGGTTATTTTTCCTACCCCAGAGGGGGGAAGCACTCATCCAAATGGGAAGATCAGTGTTTAAATCTCTCCTAAGCACAGAATCATAGGATAGTTTGTGTTGGAAGAGACCTTTAAAGGTATTTAGTCCAATCCCCTGAAATGAGCAGGGACATCTTCAACAAGACCAAATTGCTCAGAGTCCCATCCAACCTGACCTTGAATGTTCCCAGGAATTAAGCATCTACCACCTCTCTGGACAGTGTGTTCCAGTGTTTTACCACCCTCATTATAAAATAATTCCTCCTTGTATTTAGCCTATATTAGTATTCCTTCCTTCTTTCAGTTTAAAAACATTGCCCTGTGTTCTACCACAACAGGTCCTATCAAAACCTTTGTCTCCATCTTTTTCTAAGCTCCCCTTCAAGTACTGAACAGCTGCAAGATCTCCCTGGAGCCTTCTTTTCTGCAGGCTGGCTTACCCCAACTCTCTCAGGCTGCCCTCTCAGGAGAGCTGTTCCATCCCTCTGATCCTTTTGGTGGCCCTCTGGACCTCCAGCAGCTCCATGTCTTCCTGTGCTGAGGATCCAGAGCTGGGCTCATGCAGAACATGAGAGAGGCCCTAACTCCTGGGCAAATCCCACTCCTTTGGGCACTCTGGACTGTCTGTCCAGGGCACCTTTCCCTCCAAACCACTGTAGGCCATCTCCTGAAATCTCACTGCAGTGGCACTCACAGCTGCTGCATCACAAATCTTTTCTTGGCTCAGTTTTGTGTCTCATTGGGAATTCAAACTCTCTGTATTAATGAACATTCAGCAGCCTCGTGCTCAGAGTGCGTGGGGAGGCACCGAGGCACTCAGGCAGTTGGAAACAATAGCATTGGCAAGATAATGGCATTTAATTTGTTGACAAACAGATTAATGAGTGTGCCTAGAAGGGGAGGAATGAGTATTTATCATTCAAAAGAGACAGGAAAAAATAAATATGCATCATTACCAGGAGTTGTTGTGAAATTTGTCGTGACAGGAAAGCTGCTGTATGGGATAGTTATGTGAATTACAGAAGGAAATTATTTTTTTTAAATGTACTTCTAGGGAAATGCCTTGTTCCAGGGTGACATCACTTGGGTGTTTGTGCCCATTGCACAGGAGGCAAAATGTGTAATAGAGGAAGGGAAAAACAGAGTCACTAATGGGTTACATTAGTGAAAGATCAAGAGCCCCAGTAGATGTTCAGAGCTGGAGAGGAAAATGAGTCAGGTTTGAGTGCATTCCCCTGAGAGGAGCAATCCTTTCCCTGGCAATCCTCCCCTCTGGCTGTCTCTGGGACAGGAGGGGCTGCCTGGCACAGCCACAGTGGGGCCTCTGCTGCAGAGCAGGTGGATCCCAAAGGCTCCCAGCCCCTGCCAGACCTTTTGGGTCCTGAGCTCCAGCCTGTTCTGGGAGGGTGTCTTGCAGACCTGAGTCCTGAGCTCACAACCCCATTAACAGATTCATACTGCAGAGTGAATATTATCCTGCTGAAAGTATTCCAAGTGCTCAGCACTGGAATTATTCATGGAGTGCCACTTGTCAAAATGCCATCTCATTACCAGGTAGAAATCCTCCCCTTGGGACTGTCCCCAAGCCCACTGGCAAGGTTAGGTGGGCAAAACTGCCCTCTCTGTGCCCTGGCTGTTCTTTTTCTGTTTATTAACATGAACATGAAGTCTGCAAATTGTGTTTTCTCCTCTTCCCCTCTTTAGTCTTTATCCCACATCCTCAGGATGACACAGGACACGATGGGTATAAAGTAAATCCATTCATTTTGTTTCTAGCTGGTCACTTATTCATGTGAATCTGGAAAGACACCCACTGCATTAGGCCTAGATTGAGCCCAAGGGCAAATGTTATAAAAAACTCAACATTATAATAAATTTAGCAGCACACTGACAATTTTGAAGAGCTTTCCCATCCAATTAATTCCTTCAGGTGGCATTTACTAGAGACAGGAATGCTAGGATATACAGACAGGGAGAAATAAGCACATAAAGACAAGCTCAGCAGTAATTATTTTGAAAGCCAGAGGCCACCAATAGGAGAGGCAGAAAGACTTCCTACAAATTGGAGTCTCTCAGACTAAGGAGACAGGAGAATGTAATCCCACTGTTATTTTTTGTGGAACCTGGGAAAATGACACCTCAAAAAATGGAGGAAAAGAAAAACAGAAGACAGGAAAGATTGTTTCAGGGAGACAATAAAAGGAACTAGGATTAGGGAAAGAAATTGGGATGATTTTGAAAGCTTCAATACATGATTTTGAACACACTGTAAGGTAAATTTTAAATCACACTGCGAGGTTATGCAGAGCCATGAGGTTAGACACATGACACCTTATTAGTGCTATCTTTCATTGCTAGTGTGTCTCAATGGTGAGAATTACAAGTTCAGAAAGAAATTTCATTAGTGATACAGAATTAAACGCTCTAGAATAGAGAAAGAAAAGAAATCAGTAATCTGGTCAAGATTCAATCTGGTTGCTGTAAGAACAGGAGATGAGTGGGTTTTGCCTCAGCTGGTGAGGGGAATGATTTCCATTCTGAGGGTGGAAGCAGCCAGGGGCTGGGACCCCCAAGAAAGCAGGGCCTGAAGGGGTGGGACAGAGAACAAAAGGCAGCCAGGGCAGATGGAGAAGGTGTAAAGATTGCCCAGAGGCCAGGAAAATCCATAATCACCACATGACAGTCCTCACACACCAGGATAAAGCATTATCTCTGCAGCTTTGCATTTCTTGGTTGTCAGGAGGTGAATGGAGCCCTGCAGCTGCGGGGCTGTGCCTGGCTGCTCCAGTGCCTCGGCAGGGCTGCCATGGATGAGCTCACAGAGCTGCACCAAAGGAGTCTGGCTTAGCTGATCTCTGCTCCTGGAATCAAAATTCACTGGTGTTTGCAGCATGCTGGGGACACAGTGGTGACATGGACAGTGTGGGCTGTGTATTGGCATTGTTCTCCTGAGCCAGGACTAATACATTCAGGCTTGGCACAGAAGTTTAAGAAATCTTTTTAACAGAAGCTTATTTCATCTTCACAGCAGCCACTGCTGCTACCAAAGGGGCACCGTGCCAAGACTGGATCATCTCATAATTCAACTAATCCCATCATGCCAAGCTTTGTGTAGTTCCTCAGCTTGGTGGAAGTTTCAAAAATCACTGCTATTAAGTACCAATTGCTAATCTAGTGTGGGGCTGGGCTGAACAAGGTGCTTTGACCCTTTAATGCACTGACATAGTTGACCCCTCAGCAGAAATATTTTTATAGCACTTCATAGCTTTTTGAAAACATTTTATATGCAATACCTGCATCTTCTTTCAGCTCATCCAAGTGCAGCTCCTCACCAAAGGAGGTCACATTCGTTGTGGCTGCTGTTGTGGTGTCCTGCTGCTCCTCCTCTGAGGTGAGTGCCTGGCACACAGCTGCTGGAGCCTCGCTCTGTGTCACCCTCGTGCCATCGTCACCAGTGCAGGCTTTGCCTTCAGTATCTAAAACAACACATCATTTCATCTTAGCTAAAGCATGAGCAGTGAAGCTGAGGTCCCCCTGCTATCCTCTTGAGAAGAGGGACTCTTAAAGCTGCTCATGCTCTCAGGGGACTGAGACTTCTAGAGCAGCACCTGATCTCTGTGTTTACCACCTGTGATGCAAATCCTGTGGGCACCAGCCCGTCTGGCACAAAAACCCACTCAGGTTTCTCAAGGAGACACCTCTTTCTGTGGGCATCCAGCTGCCTCAGCAAGTGGCCACTGTGCTCTGGAAGCAGCTGCCAGGTGGGAGATGAGCAATGGGCAATCAGAGATCTCTTGGAGAAGGCAATTCCTTCCTTGCATGAGCAGAGCCCGTGGTGCAGCACACTCCAGGTGGGTCTGACATGTCTGGGCTGTGCCAGGCTCTGTGCATGACTCGCTGCCATCCAGCAGTGCTGCAGGAAGGAAAGGCTGCTCATATTCCTACCAAACTGCAGGTTTTTAGCACAGTTTTCGTTACTCAGCTCTGAAAAGTGTATCCTGTGTGATTGAGCTGATCAGAAATTCAAATCCCTCCTCATGCAGACCTAGAAACTGCTCCCTTTGCTTACTCTGAAAGATTTTTGTGCCAGTGATCCCTGCAGCTGTACGCATCTTGATGACTGAAGCTTTTCTAGTATTCTCTTATTCAGGCAAGAGTCTTCAGAATACAAACTACTCTTTTACTCCCTCAGAATTTACAAGGTCTACATCACTGTTGCAAAGACACAGAGAGCAATCGCTTCCGTCCCTGGGCAGCTCTCCATGCTGATGGATGCTCCTGCTGTCCACCCTTCACCTCCCAGCTTGTATTTCTCATCCCTGGACACTCCTTCCTGGAAGCTCCTGACAGGGCTGTGTTTTCTTGCAATGCTATCATTACAAGTCCCTTGAACATCAATTTAAAACAGCAACATTCACAATTATCTCTTTTTGATGCTATTTGGACAATCTGCAGGGTAATTTCTTGTGGTTTTGGGTGAGGGTATCAGATTTTGGCCCAGAGATGCTGCGGAAGGGATGCAGTATTTTTGCATACTGAGCTCACTCAGCCTGCCTCATAATCACGTTTGGTGAAAAGTTACTGTTCTTAAAATAGCCCTTGCAGTAGCACAGTTGCTATGATACAGGGAAGGGGAGGGGGGAAAAAGTTCATTGCCTACATTTCAGCTCTTTGTGAAGGCAGCCTGTAGATAATCATGGGTGTGTGAACCACTGTCATGGGGTTTGACAGGCAGCCCCTGCCCAGAGCTGTAAGCACAGATAAACCTGATCAGCCTTGTGCTCACCAAGGGGACAAACATCGAGGGGGGAGCTCCCTAAAATGCTCAAGGTAACTCTGCTCTGCACAGCCTGGGGAAAGGCAGCTGGGCCACAAAGGATCTGCACCAGAGACACCTTCAGGTCCCGGCCCCTGGGAGGGCAGGGCTAATGAAGGGATGGCAGGCAGAAGATGTTCCTTTTGGAGCATTCCTGAGACTCACAACAGCGATGTTCTGGGGCAGGAAGGATCAGCTGGTGCTTACATCAAAGTGGGTGTGCTGCTTTGGGTGCCAGAGGGTCCAACACTGTATTTTCGAGATGGTCTGGGGGCAGGACAAAGCACAGACCTCAGCTCCAGGGGGAAGGAGAAGCCCAGCCCTCAGCACTGCAAGGTAACCAGGAGCAGGGCTGGGACTTTGCTGGGAATTACCCCCTCCGTGTGCCAGAGCCAGGTCCTCTCTCAGGGAGTTAAGCTGGTTCCCAGAGGGAAGCTGCATTTCAGGAGTGTTCCAGGGGCAAGCTGGCACCTGCCCTGTGTGAGCAGAGCCCCAGAGGAGCAGGGGACAGAGGTGGCCCAGGCCATGCTGAGAATGGCCAGCCAGGAGTGGGGGCTGTGTGAGGACACAGGGTGACACAGCCTGCCAGGGGGACTGAGCACCCACACAGGGACAGTGCAATTCACCCTGGGCTGCTCCCAGGGCACTGCAGACCCTGCACCAGCCCTTGCAGAGCTCAGAGCCACATGGGCCACTGCCAGGGCCACTGCCAGGGCCACTGCACCTACTGCAAATGCATGAGGCTTCTCAGGCTGCAGCATCCTCCCAGTTGGGCTGTTTATGAAAGTGAGCAGGAATCAGCTCCCTGGAAGTGGAGTAGAGCCTGATGGAATAGAGGGATTTGAGGATTTACTGTAGTCTTTTTGCTGCTTTGACAATTGCAACTTAACTGCATAAACGAGGACTTAGCCTTGAAACTGCTGCCACTTCAGCTCAGTCCAAGTAGGGCACTAATAATTTACTGAGAATTATTTGGGTCAGTTTTTATTCCAGTTAATAAGCTGCTTCTGCTAATATAATAAAATAACCCTGGAGATTCACAACACTCTGTAAAGACAAATAACTTGCAGGCAGCTGCAATGTCCTTCAGCTGACTGTGATCCACTCTTCCCTTTCTGGGCACAGGGAGGCACTGGAAATTTGTGTGATGCTCATAGGAGCTCCAGGCAACTTTCCTGCAGACAGGTAGGCAGTCTGTTTGCAGCTGTCTAGTTAAAAGCACAGCTTGTCCTCACACCTCACTGGACTATATTTATTTGAACTATTTTAATTTTGTTAAAATTATCTTGCTGCTTGGCATCACCTTTTCCTCCCAACCATTCTTTATGCATGCAAGAGGTTTATTGATTCCTCATTATTGCCTCCTAATGGGCTCTACAGAACTTCTATTTTACTGGTTTTTTTGCAGAGCATGACTTCAAATTCATGGATTATAGGGAACTTTCCTGCTCCTAGTGGAGATCATGTATATACAGTAATGCTAATATGCTAATAGGACAAGTAATTATCTAGAATTATGAGACACACAAAGACTTCAATGGACAGGAATTAAAAAGAACTTTCTAAGAACTTCCATTTTAGAATAAATGAATGGTTTGATAGATTATTTAATATAAAATTTAAAATATATCCATCAGAATAATATTAAAATTGCTTTACTCCCATGGAAAAAGAAATCCTATTTAAAATGCTCTTTTTCTGACTCTTCAGTTGCTCAGTTTCACTCCAGCTTGGCATCAGTATTGTCCCAGGGGTTATTTATAGGCATGGCATTTGTTTTATACAAAAGAAACTCAATTACTACTTTCCAAGAATATAGCTTCTATCTGTGAGATTAATCAAACTCAAAAGGCCAGTCCTCTTTCATGACAGTACTTTCTGCTATGATGTTTTCAAAGTAAAGATGGATTTGTGGGGTTTATCTCTGTTTAGGTGGATATGGCAATTGGGATGTTGTCCATAACACTGGGAGCTCAGTTAATCTCACAGAGCAGTCACCCAGATCTGTGTCTCCCTTGAGCATCTGTCAGGGCTTTGGAGCACAAGAACCACGTCCTTTGTGACTGTTTCTGACACTTTATCATCTTTCCTTCCATGACTTCTGGTTTGTACTCAGGAAAGCTTTAAAATGACTCCACTAAATGCTTCACTTTTCCATGGGAATGAAAAGCAGGTGGACTGGTAACATGCTACATCACAAACTTGGTGTACTGGAAAAACAGCTGAAAACATCAGGTTGGGATCATTTGGTGGGATCTGGATCCATGGGTTGTTCGTGTTAGCTGACTGCATCTGTATGTTGAAGTTTGTATTTATCCAGCCTGAGCTGGATTTCTTGGCAGAGGGGTTCAGCTGGGTTTAGAGCAATTACATAAAACCTACAGACCAGCTGAGGCTGCAGCACGTGTAAAGCAAGGGAACACAGAGCTGCATGGGAGTTGGGAGAGCATCAAACACTGAACTCATGGATGGATTGCAGCAGGGAGGAGCTTGAAGGATGACAAGCCTTAAACTCAAACACTGAGTTTTCACTCTGTTTGGATTGAAGGGTTTTATTCATTTGTTTGTTTATTCTGCTTTTGCAAATACGTGTTTCCTACTGTCCTGAAGGAGCCTCTGATAAAAAAAAAAAAAAAAAAAAAAGAATTTTGACTTACCTTGTTCCATCATCTCCAGAAGGCCTTTCTTAATGAGTTCATCCCTCCCTTGCCGTGCTGTCATCTTCTTCTCCAGCACTGCACAAAGTAATGGCACAACACAGCACCAGTTACCAACAGAGCACTCATGTAATGGGGTGAGAAAGAGGCAACATGGAAATTCCCTCTAGTCCCAACTCCTGTGTGCCTGGAAAGGACTGCAAGGATTTTGTTTTGGGGAGCATGGATTGATGAGCTCGTTTTGCCTCTTTGTTGAAATCACACCATGTAAAGCTCAGGTTTATGGTGTGAGGTGCTGTCAGATCACTCTGAGTGCAGCCACAGGGATTTCAGAGCTTCCTGCTGTTTACTGGGGCACCTTGGAGCTGCCTTGGACAGTGTCCTCCACTGGGACACTCCCACAGGACACAGGAGCAAGTGGAGGGAACTGCACTGTCCCACCTTATGAAAATGCAAGTGAGATTCTCTCCATACTCATCTCCTGGGACATCTCTGGAGACCAGTGAGAGGAGGCTGTGCTGTGTGCTGGGCTCCTTCCCCTCAGAGGCAGCTGCTTGAGGGAAGGCATTTCACATGCTGCAGCTCCCTCCTGTCACTTCTCATCATGTAACTGTGACCTACATAAACTTCACCCCAAATAAAAGGGGTGACAATACTTGGGGCCATAAATGTAGCCAGTGTGGAGAAGGGACAGCCCATGCAAAGCAGTCTGGGGGCAAGGCTTGTGCTTCACTCTCATATTTTGACCTTTCCATCTAAATGTACTAAATTGTGTTATACAGGAAGTCAGCCTATATGGGCCCCTCTGAGCCTTAAACATTAATAATCTGTTGAATGCTGGAATCTCTGCACTGGGTTTGGCTCAGGTCACCTTTAACATGTCCCATGAAAGCTCTGCTGTGCAGCATCCCTGTCCTGCTCCCAGCCTACCTGCAGATGTCTGCTTTAGCTTCTCATTTTTCTTTTTCCTCCACTTCCACGGTTTGAAGATCCTGCCCAGTGTTGCCAGTTTGCTGTTCCTCCTCACTGGTGGAGTTCGAATCCCTGAGACCAAGTAGTCAGAACGCACTGCAGGGGACTGCTCCATCTCATCTGAGAGGGGAAGAGAGGAAAAACCTGTTAGACCAAACCCCAGAGTGACTTGCAAAGGGCAGGTAGAGGGGCTCACCAAGGCAGTGGTGCCACTGTGCCCCCAAAAGCTGCAGGGAGCTGCCACAGCCTCCTGAACCCTGGAGAGCTGAGAGCTCCCCATGGCTTTAACAGGAGAGTGGAAGTTTAACACATCTGTAAATCAAGCTCACGTGGCCTCCAGTTAATCACATAAATGTAATGCTCATTTAAAAAATGCAGACCTTTATGAAAAGCTGAGAGGAAGTGTGAGAGAGCTCAGATCCCTTTGGAATCCCCAGATTCCAGTTCTGTTCCTGGGTCACAGGATATTGCTGCCTTTTAAATGAACTCTTCATATGAGCTAACACAGAACACGCTGACTTTTGTGAGCTAATGCAAATCTTATATAAAGAAGAGTTTGTTTGATATGTGCTATGTAAGTAAAATCTCAGAACTACTGTGAAAATTTATTCCCTGAGAAAGCTAAGGGGAGAATTCTTTCCTTTTTGTCCAGCCAAGCCACAGGAATTCAGAGATAATGCTTCAGCTGGAAAATCAATTGAGGTATTTTTAATAATTTTCCTTGAAATGCACCACAAGTTTTGCTTATAGACAAGTGTTGGATGAAACAATACCCACTGAGTATTCACAGTTGTGTGCCAGCCAGTGCCATGGAGGACAGTGGGACAGTCCCCTAAATGGGGTTATTGATGTCTTTACTGAGATCTGTATTACAGCACCAGTGCAGTAATTGTTGAAAGAGAAGCTGCCATCAGACCTGTTACAGAAATAAAAACTGAGCAGCAATTTGTATTTTTTTTCCCAACAACCAGTTAAAATTTAAATTGGGAATGTGAAGCTATGAACATATGTACATTTCCAAGTAAGTTTTCTCTGGAACAGCAACATTTATCATAAATTGCTTCATGACTGCAAGATCATACAGATCCAGCATCTTCTAGGCTTTGTTTTTAAGTTAACAGGGTGAAAATGCCTAAATCACAGCACGGAGGTGGGGATTTCCAAGTAAACAGGAAACGATTTTTGGAAGATTATTAAACACAGCAGGGGAATCAACACATTCCTCCTCTTCCATTTAATTTTGAAAATACTGGTAATAGAGATGAATCACTCAGTGGAGACAAACTAAAAACTTGGCTATGTGAGCTATTAGAGCAGAGAAAAGCTGTGACAATTCCCCACACACATCATGCATGCCCAGTGAAATTCTCTTTCTTTGTATTGAATTTAGAGCACCTTTTTCCTCATTCCACTGAGTTTATCTGGGGGTTTAATTTACAAGAGATTTAAAGTAATAATTTTTTTTCCTTTGAACTCATGGTGCCTACCCAAGGTGATATTTATAATTTACAATTTGGAGGTCAGTATTAAGTTGAGAGCAGGAAATAGCAATGAGCCTTGCACAGAAGGAAGGCAGTAGCCTACAGACCACAGCTGGAGTGCCAAGATATTCTGCTCCTTTCCTAGCAGTGTATTCAAAAATGAGAAGTACCACAGAAATAAGCTTTGAAGAATTAGAGCTGCTCTTGATTACAGCAATAGCAATGAGAATGGAAAATGGCAGAGTAGATCTCCTATTAACTTGCTATTATGATCACTTTAAAGCTCTAATAGAACGCTCAGGAAATAGCATTTGGTCATTTCTTGTGACACCTCTTGAGTGGAAATAGAAATGTTCATGAAATTAGCTCATCTCCAAGTAGCTGTAGATGAGGCTGTGAATCAGAGCCTGGGAGCTGCAGTAGAGAGGGACAAGCTCAGCTCAGCTGTCCCTGCTCCTCTTCACCCTGCACTGCTGCTCCTCCCAGGCCAGGAGTTTCTCAGGCATGGAGGGGAGGATTAAACAAGAAGCTGATTTACTGGCTCTGCTGTGTTTCCTTTGGGATGGAGGTGTCTGCAAAGTGGGTCAGGTATCCCCCACATGTTTTGTTTAGTACTGGTAGTATGGGATCATTTGAAGTTTTTGCCAGATGCACAAAGATACAGATATATAAAGAACCAAGAAATCATTTGAACCCAAACCTTTGGGTCTCCAGCGATGCTCATGGTCCCAGATATTCCCCTAGAAGGGGAATGGGGAGATATCACAAGGACACTGAGGCTTCCTTGAGTGCTTCTGTGGTTTACACCAGCCCTGCCAACTGAGTTTCTTCCCTCCCTTTCTGCCCTCTTGGTTGGGGAAATGCAAAGATTTTGATTGCTGATGAAACACAGGTACAAATCTGATGCCAAAGAAGGAATAGCAGATAAAACATATGTTCCAGTGGAGGTTTTTGTGGGCTTTTTAACTTTATTAATGTTTCTCATGTGGTACAAGCAGTCCTTCTCACCATATGCAGTTTCTATACTGTGTATTGGGTGAGATGGACACAAAAATAGATAGAGACACAGCAAGACAGATGTCCTGAAGTCCTAAATAACAAAGAAGTGGTCTCACTGGCAATGAGAATCACAAGAGAGCCCTTGGAGCACCTCATTTCCAGTCAGTTCATTTTCTCCTGGTTGTGGGTTGGCTGCTTGGGAGATCAGAAGTTGACAGCACAAAAAGCAGTTCCCACGTACAGCAGTGACTGCTGGAGAAGGCTCTCCTAAATATCAGCCAGCTCCTGCAGCCAACAAGCTGCCAAGGCTTGCCAACCCTCCAACCACTCTGTGAAACATTCAGCACATTTTTTTAATCTGCAGTCAATATTTTAATTATGCTAACTGTTCTGTGGAATAATGTGGTTATTTCTCCCAGAGCCTGACAGCCTGGGGCCAGGCCATGCAATTACACAGGGGATGTCTGCAAAATACAAACAGCCAAGAGCCAAACCATGACTCTCCAAATCAGCAGGGGGAAGCAAGCAGCAGCTTAACTCTCTGTGTAATGTGGAAGGATGAGGCACAGTCACTATCAGGGTCCAGAGAGCAGCAGTTTGACCCCAGCACAGTCAGACCAGCCTGTTGGCCCTCACTGCCCCACAAGCAGGCAATCCTCAGCCCTGTGGGGCCACAGGATTTTGCTCTGGCAAAAGCTTATTTGCTGTTTATGCCAAAATCACTTTAAATTCCTCGCTGTACACATTTGAGGGCAAAGACTCCTGTGCTGGAGCTTCAGCCCCAGAACAAACCCCTCCCATATCACAAACTCCTCAGCTGCTCTGTGTGTGCCAAAGGGGTGGACACCAATGTGGCTGTGCCCCTGCTGATGACGTGGGCAAGTTCCTCTCACAGTGCTAGCTGGGGTAGTTTCTAGAGCTCCTGGCAGTGGTGCAGTGTGAGTGGGTTAATGTCTGAGAGGGGAGAGGTTCCACAGTGACACTGCTCTGCAGTGCAGCTCTGGGCTGCACAATCAACCAGGCAACAAAGAAGAAGCAAACAAACCATAATATTCATTACATTTGGCTCCAGGGTCTGACCCCTCAGAAAGTCTGAGCATCTGCAGCTTCTGTTTACAGCAGCAGCAGTTGTGGTGAAGAACACCCCCTTGCTCTCTTCCTTAAAACATTGTGGTGCCATAAATAGAGCACTCTTCCTGCAATTCCCCTCTCTGTGGGAATTGTGCAATCTTTCAGAAGGTTTTCTGCTCAGAGAAGCTCTCCCATTTGCACATGTCAGACCCTGCCTCCATCCCAGCCAGCCTCCCACAGAAGTGGGGCAGGTTTGTGAATTGTGGGATGGGAGAGTGCCCTGAAGTGCCACAGCCCTGTTCCTACAGCAGCTGGGGCTGGTGCTGAGGTGATCATGGGTGATAACAGCACTGTTCAACTGAGCACTGGGCTCACTGAGTTGGTTTTATCTTCTCGGGTTTTTGCAGTGTGGAGCTGGATGCCTGCTGATTACAGCAACTGCAGGATGCATTCCACAGGCTGAGGAGGGGCAGCTGGGAACATCAGGGATGCAGGGCTGAGTCACACTGACCTTGCCATGCAGGCAGGCTGCAGGGGACACGGGATGTCCTCCTGTGAATGCAGCAAGAACTTTGTGGGAAGATGAAGGATGCTGAATTTTAATGTGCTGGGAATTCTGGTAACTTAAATTCACAGTAATGAAAGTTGTGCCTTGCTAAATCCTGTGTGTACATTAGTAGGAGAAGGACCACTGAAAAATCTGCAACCTGCAGGCAGTTTAAAAATAACACAGCAGACAAGAGCTGCAGGCAAATTTGTAAGGCAGGCGTGCTCTGTTTGCTGATGAACTGGTTTGTGATGCAGCTCTGCATGTTTTCCCCTTTACTGTCATTGCATCTCTCTCTGCAACTCATGTATTGAGCTAAAAAAGGAAATAAAGGTTCCCTTTGGTCCACTGCAGAGGGCAGAGACAGTGAGTGGAATCAAAATGGCCTTTCTGGCTTTTGGGATAGAGGTGCCTTTACCAGCAGTAACTTTCAGTGCTGCCTGGAATTCAGGAGTTCCTCTAGAAAGGTGAGGGAGGATGACACAGGGGGAGCTGAGCTTTTAAAGGGTTCCTGTGTCCCCCTGGTCACTCCCAAACTGAGCCAGCACTTCCCTCAAGGTGGTCCTAGCAGTGAGAGGAGCCTGCAGGGCAGGGAAGGCAGAAAGTGGTGCTGGTGTCAGAGTAAAGATTATCCTGAGCGTTGTGAAAGAGAATTAGCAGCAGGAACAATTCCCCTTTTCCTTACTTTAGCATCCTGAAAAATAGAGAACTGACCACAGTGATGAACACAGGATAGGGATAAGTTGCTCGTGTCTGGAAGCCTTTGAATGCTTCTGTCATATGTTCCAGAGAAGCAGAATTCAAACTGAAGAGCTTTTTTATTGCACCAGTTAGATGTTTCCTGTGATGGAATTCTTCCTTGTTCTAAAAATGTTTTCTGTCACCTGCATTTCTGCAGACACGCTCTCTTTCTTGACTCTCTTTGAAAGAGAACTACAGCAGAATGTTCCAGTTTGAAGTTTCCATTTCAGTTTTTTGAACATAAAGTATTTTTATTTTTGCAGTTTTGAATGACTGTTAGA